TGACTCTTGTACCATATATTCCAATCACATATCAGATAATAGGCTTTGTTAAGACTTCCAAATTATAATCAGGGGTAATCTTGATTGGGTGCCTGTTCCTTAAACAAAACAAGATAAAGAAAGAGGCAAATACTCTATATGAAGTTGGACCAGTACAGGGTGGAGTGAGGCCTGGTGGTCAGTTTCAGTTGCTCCTTTTTTGAACTATTTTTCATACTGCTGTCTCATTCTAGCTTAAAGTCTACTTCCATGCCCACTTTAGCAGAAAGACGCATTGAATTTATCAAGCAGAATTACTTATTCTGTATTCTCATCATTAATTTTTTACTAAAACCTGTATATGAGAATATACATTGATGATTTTATCCTAAATTTGATTTCACTGATTTTGGATTATTATTTTAGCCTTCTAAATCTACCTCCCTGGGTTGCAGTTGAGAATCCTCATTCAGGTGCTTTTATTTCAGCCTTGCTTTAGCCACCAATCTATATATATATTATTCTTCATCTTTTTTTCTATAGGATTGTTTGTGTTATTCTTATTCTTTTATAGGGACTATTTATTTAGTACACAAATTTTTATTGATTATTGATGCTCTAAATATTTCTTATCTTTTTGTTAGCTGACCTTTCACTTTCTTTTTGGTTTCTTTGGATCACTAGAAGTTCATTATTCAAATATTAATCTAGTCAAATTAATTAACTCTTTTCCTGTATTTTAAAAAAATATTTTATTTATTTATTTGAGAGAGAGAGAGCATGAGCAGGGGAGGGGGCTGAGAGAGAAGCAGACTCACTGCCATGGGGTTTCGCTCCATCCCAGGACCACAGGATCATGACCTGAACCAAAGGCAGATGCTTAAGTGACTGAGCCACCCAGGCACCCCCTATGGTTTTTGTTTTTTGCATCTTAAAAAAATGTGTTGTTTTTCACCCTGGTATCCTAAATATGTTTCCCTATAACTTGTTCAAAGAGTTTTAGAATTGTGCTTTCCACACTTAAGTCTTCAATCTACCTGGAGTTGGTTTGTGCAGGAAATGAGGTAGGGACCCAATTTGTACCAACATCAGGACTTTTATTGAAAATATTTTTTCCCTATTGCAATACTATCTCCGTCTTATATCAACTTACTATTTATAAATAGATTTGGTTGGGAGCTCTACCTTGTTTTAGTAATCTTTTTACCTATTCCTGTACTAATAATACACTATCTTCATTTTCTTCTCCTGAAGTAGATTTTTTAGGTTAATTTTTCAGTGAGTGCCTATGAATGGTAAATTCAGTCTTGGCCTGAAAATAACTTTATTTTATCCATTTTGTTGAATTTTCAGTATCAAGTATTATGGAATTTTAATTTGATAGGTAGTTTACAATTAGTGGAATTTCCAAAATACTTAGCTTATCATACTACTGAATGAATATGTTTTCTATATATTTTTTCCTTTATCCTTTTTTACTCTGGGTCTCTCTTCATGATCACTTGTGCGAAGGCAAACCAATCTGAATAAATTCAGGGTTCCCACCCTCTCTTGCTACTCTCATGTTTCTTTCCTCTACGTTTGTTGCTTTCCTTTCCTGCCTGGAAATTAGATGCCTGTGGTAGACTCAAGATCTAGATCTTAACCTCACTCACTCTGTGTGAATATAGGTGAGTGGTGTGAGGTGGTAACAAAGAGAGCATTTCAGCTGGGAAGGAAAAATTATTTGCATAAGGAAACAAATACAATGAGCCAGAAACTTGGTGCAAGCTATACCCAGTATGAGAAATAGTCACAAAATCTAGCACGACTCATAGAGACAAACAAAAACTGACAAAGGCATTTTGTATAAACCAGTCTTTCATCTCCACTCAGGAATTATGGGTCTGAAATATAGAGGTCTTAGAGCATTTAATAATCCTTCTCCAAACACAAATAATTAATGTCCATTTTATAGTGAAAGAAATTAGTTTTTTATGTAAAAACAGAGAAACTTGCCAATATCCATTGCCAAATGAAGAATACTGGGTAGCTGAGGTCAGTGACTGCCAGTCTCTTTCCTAGGACCAAATATCCCAACCTTTTCAGCATATCAAAGGCCATCAAAACGTCACCGATGTTGAGGTTAAGAACCTGCCTCCTATTAGATGTATTGACAAAAGCAAGTAACAAAGGAAGATCCCTTAGTTTTCTTCTGCTGCTGCTTAGTTTTCCCTATAGCAATAGAAAATTCTGAAGAATAGATGACTGAGCTCTAATGGCACATTTCATTTGGATTTATTTTCTTTTCAACTTTGAAATGCATCCTGTACAAATAATGTCCTGGGTAGGTGGTGAAATTTCAAGGTAAGAGGCAGTGTCACATTGAAAATAACCCAAGAAGAGCCATATAGACAAAGTATTTTCAAAACCTATAACTTACCAACTTTCTTCCAAAGATCATAATGATAATACCTAGCGCTTATTGAACATATACTGTGTGACAACCATGGTGCTTTTTTTTTTTACATGGAGTATATTTGGTTCTCACAATGATTATATGACATATATACTATTATCATTATCCTCCTATTACAGAAGAGGGAAGTGAGGCTCAGAGACTAAGAATTCATCAAGGTTGTTCAGTATGTAAGTGGTAGAAATGAGCTTCTATCTTAGACAAATCTGTTTCAGTTAAGAGCCTTTCTTCTTAACACCATGAAATGCTCACTTCGTTTCCCTGTTCTGTTTGGTGTCATTTACTTTATCTCCATCTTCATGAGAACTGAGTACAAATGAGGCAGGATGGTATTTGTGTTAGATGAGACTCCATGTTGCCAGCAATGCCAACTGAAGCTGGCATTAAAAACAATAGATTTAGATAATGTATCAGCTTCCAACTGAAAATGGGACCTGGGAGAACACTGTGTATTGATTGGCTCAGGATGGGATGTTGTACCCTTCCATGAACCACACATTGCAGCAAGGGGAAAATGGATAACTCAGATTGCAATTTGGGCAATTCCTGAAGCCAGGGATGGGGACAATTTCATCAAAATTGAATGGCTGCCCCTTGAGGTGGATTGAGGGGAAATGAGAAAATAGAAGCTTAGGAAAATAAAGGAAAATAAGTGGGAGTCAAACAAATGGAATCCTTACTTCCTTGTCTAGTAAAATTAACATGTAAATTAAACATAAAGAAAGATCATGGTTAGATTCCACATCTTAGAAAACTTCCACTGATGATGTGTGAATTAGCTAGCTATTGCTGTGTTGAAACAAATTATCCCAAAATTAGGTGCTTAAAAGAAGAGACATTTATTTCCATAGGTCAGTAACTTGGGCCTAGCTTAGCTGGCTCAGGGATTTTTGCCAAGTTGGCTGGGGGAAGATCTTCTTCCAAGCTCACTCAGTATTGTTGGTAGAATCTAGTTCCTCCTGTTGCACTCCAGGCCTGCTGTAAGGAGGGCTTCTCCATAGGGCAGCTCCCAATAGGCACTGGCTTCCCTCAGAGCAAACAAGCAACAGAGGAAAAAAAAAAAAAAAAAGTCCAAGATAGTCTTTTTATATCCTAATCTTAGAAGTGACATCCTGTCATGTCTGCCATATTTTATTCTTTAGAAGTGAGTCAGTAAGTCTACCCCACTTTTAAGAAAGAGGATGATGCAAATGTGTGAATATCAAGCAGGAGCAGGGGATCTTTAGGGGCCATCTTAGATGCTGCCTATCATATTGTATGCATTGATGCATCTGTGTTTGTGTATCTACATTTGGAGTTGGTGGGTGGTCTGGAGTCACACATGATATGGGTCCAATAGAGTATTGAGTTCTTATGGACTTTCCTGTTAAGGACATTAGGGGGATAAAATGGTAGTCATGTTTCCTATAAGAAACAAATGGCATTTGCAAGTTGAGGGTTTGAGCCAGTTTAATAAAGGGACTATTTACAAAGGTGTAGGTAAGTATAGCAAAATTGCAAGGAATAGTGCATTACTCCAGGGCTTGGAACAGCCTGACACATCACTACCCCAAGGGCTGAAACAGTAAAGGAGGGAGCAGTTATCAGAAGTAGGACAAGATATCTGTATGAGAAGACGCTGGGCAGGAGCTGTGACTTTCCACCAAAGGAAGCAGTCAACCTATGGCATCTCCACAGGGAAAGGGCCAGGGGAATAAATATATCAGCTCACTCTCCTCCAGTCTCTTGCTTTCACTACCCATTGGCTGAACTCAACTAGAACCAAGAAGGCAAGGGAGTCCACTGGTGTTGTCAACACAGGTCAGCCTCAGGGATACACAGTATGTGGGAAGAGTGGAGAATGGACCCAGAGGGATGATCAGAAGTACAGAAACCAAGTGAGTACTTATAAGGAAAATCATCCCCATGATAGAGAGAGAAGAAGAAACAAGCTTACAGGATGAGGTGTTGTTTAGAGCAAGCTAGATGGAAGGGTTTGGTTTGCTGGCAGAGATGGGTATTTAACATCAAAACAGGCTTTCATATAGTTGTGTCTCTTGAAGAATCCTTAGGAATGGGAAACACATATCAACCCTTATGACATGATTTGGGCAAGATTGCACTGATGAGGGGAGCCTGGTTGGCTAGGATGACTTTGAAGGGTCCTTGTAACTTGAGGATTCTGCGTTCCAGGAGGAGTGATGGAAATCAGGAAACAGGATCTCCTGCGAAATATTCCCCATGCTTTGAAATGGAAATTGAGCTATTCCAATTTAGGAATCAAATTAAAGCAAATAGGGTGTCAGTGGGTTGTACTCCCCCCTGTTTGAAGTGGCAGCTAAAGAAGGCATGCTGCTTTTTCCTGATGAAGCAGGATCGCACTCAGCCTGTTTTCATCTTTACTTAGCACCTGCTGGCTTGGAGTGGTGTTGCCCAAACAGTCAGACAGGGGGGATGTGCCAGGAGCTTGACCTCCCGCGCATGCTGCCCCTCCCCAAACCCCATGACAGCCTCTCTTGATACAGATGGACAGGGGCTGGTTTAAAATGACAGTCTCAAGTTCGTGTAGGAAGAGAAGGCTAATTCAAAGAAACAGCCAGGCAAACTTCCTTTCTCTGTAGGAATAATTATCATCCCCCTTCACCATGGCCCACCTGGGAGCCCATTTTGCCTTTAGATCCTGCTGGCAGAAGACCGATGATGAACTCTGTCGACACAGCATGTCCTTTATCCTTCACAAAGCCATTCGCAGTGACTTCTTTCAGAGTTATCTCTACCTGCTGGAAAAAATTCCCCTGGGTAAGTGAGTCAGAACTACTAGATAAGGGACAAGAAAGGGGGACTGTGTGAAGTCGTGGGACCTCTGCAAGAGTCCTTGTCCTTAGAACAAGGACACTTTTCAGATAAAAAGAACCCACAACCAGTGTCAGGGGGCTTAAATGTTTCAATGGCACTCTTTCTTGCAGGGTGCAAAGATCAGGTGCTGCCTGGCAAGTAAGGCCTCTATTTTGGGATTCCCATGCACACTCAGGAACTGTGATTTGCTTCCCTGGGTGTTGGTTGGCCTGAGTACCAGGCTTACAGAAATTCATTTCCTGATTTTTGAAGGACATTTTTAATATTTGCCAAAATTAAGAAGGGGGGCAAATTAGGTAACTCAAAGATGACAGTATTAATGTGGTAGTATGGCAACTAAGAGTTAAAAAGAAAGACTAAACGATAAGGTGTTCTTGTTCTGTGTTTGTGTGTGTGTGTGTGTGTATGTGTGTGTGTGTGTGTACATGAGCCCACACTCCACACAATCCTTTCTGGTTTTCCTGAGTCACAGTAATAGAGAGCCGAAAAGGAGCAGATTTTAGTCTGTTCTTTGAATATTAAGAAAAAAACCTGGGGCAGTGGTCTGGCTCCCTTTTCCCTATTTCCTCTAGTTTTCAGGGAATTAGGCAATAGGGCTATAAAAAGCTTATCGGGTTTGTCTACACTACTTTTCTCAGCCTCTGTGAAAGGGGTTACTTCAAGGAACTCTTAACAGCACTGAAGAGGAAATAACTTGTGATTAAAGAGTGAAGTGTCCCCCTTTGATTTATATTTTCCCCCCAATGAAAGCAGGACCAGTATGTATGACCCCCAGTCTGTTTTCTTAAGCCCCATTGTGCACTTGATGTGGCCAGCATTTCTAGACATCATGGGAGCTATGTAATTCTTTGTACTGCATTCAAGAAACTAGTTGCTAGAAGCCTACCAGATTTTCTTTGTATAAACCCATTTCTGAAGGGATCTTTAAATCTATACATACAATGCTTTCATCTCATATTTATGCAATGCTTCTTTAAAAATTTCCTTATTTATGATTTTATTTGATCCTCACAGCTACACTAGGGATGGATAGGATAAGTATCACTATTTTCCTACTCCCACCTTCGCGCCGTCACCCCCCACCTTACTTTTTCAAATGGGGAAAAGAAAATTTAGAGATGATGAGATCTAATCTAGACAGATCTCATTTAGATATCAAAGCAAGAACCAAGACAAGAGCTTTTTCTGGTAGATCACACTGCCCATAAGTAATTCTTTTAGGATGTATTATGCGTCTCATTTGTATCCAAATGGGAAAACTAGAGCAGTCCATTTGGAAGGTGAGAACGTTCTGGTTGCTCCACACACTAGCAGAGCACTGCTTTTCTAGAGACACTCTTGAGAGTCTTGTGTGTCACATCTCAATAACAGTAGCTGGGTGTCCTTAGCTACAGTAGATTGGAGAAAGATATCAATTACAATGACTAAGATACTCACTAAGGGGCAGATGGCTGCCAAATTTTAAAAATAATTACTAGAGAGAAAAAGGAACTCAACTCTGAAAGTAGCAGAAGATGAATTAAAAAGGAAGAATAAAACAGTATCTTCTGAAAATCAGGTGAAAATTAATTGGGGAAAAGGAGACTATAATTTATTTTTGGTCTCAATCCCTTTTTTCTGATCAGTAGAGTCATTCTGATTATACTAATTTTTCTCCTCTGTAAATGTGCTGATGGTTTATCAGTGATTTCCAATCTTTAAAAAATTATTAAAAAAAAACAAACGTTTTGACAAAGTCTTCCACGGAATCCCAGCGTAAAACAGGAAAAAGTGAAAATTTTCTGCTTAGGGTTGGGGACAGGGTGTGTTCCCTGCTCTATCCCAGCCTCACCAGTGGCTCCTGAGGCACTTCTGTAACACCCATCGGTTTCCATTAATACTGTTTGAAAACCCTTAGTCCATTTCTAAGCCAAACGTGGCTCCATTTTACTTAGTCCATTTTCCATAAATAGGTACTGCTTATTTTCTCTGACTCTGATAATTCAGCCCAGGAATTGGTTTCCCCTGAGAGTAACAGAGGTAGCCCCATCCACAGTATCTCATTGATTTTAGCAATCGGGGGCTATATTAGTCTGTATGGACTATGCTATCCTGCAATAACAAACTAACCCTAAAATCTCAATGGCTGAGCATATAAAAGTTTATTTTATGTTTTTGCTGTATCATTTCAACACGCATTACGGGGGAGGGGGGCTGTGTTCCACATAGGCATTCAGGGATCTAGGATGATAAAGGCTCCACCCTCTGGGACACTGCTAGTCACCATGGTAAGGAAAGATAGGAGCTAAAGTTTTGCCTTTTAGCCCGGAAGTATTTTGTCCCAGAGGGACATACATTACAAGTGTTTAGATACCATTGCCCAGAACCAGTTACATGGCCCTGTCAAACTGCAAGGACGCTGAGCAATGTAAGGGAGTATATGTATATCTGGTCACTGGCAAATGTTTCTGCTGGGGGGAAAACATTGCATTTTAGAGATAGAAACACTGGACACTTCTGATCAATTCAATTTAGTGTAAGAGACATTTACAGAGCTCTGTCGTGCAAAATGCTCTTTGGTGTATTGGAGAAGATTCAAACAATAAAACACAGTCTCTGTTCTTCAGAATTTTATAAACTGGAAATGGAGGCAAATAAACAAATAACTTTTTATTAATCCTTAAAAGGTTTAAATTAAGATTACAGGAAAGGCAGGCTGTCAACTTTGTGAATACTCAGCTTTTTTTGCAGTGTTTTCTTCTCATGGCAGAAGCTAAAGCCCCTCCAGGAGACTATAAGCTACTTGCAGGTGCAGAAAGGAAACAATACATGTGTCTCATCCGCCAGTATGACTTTTATCCAATCACAAGTCTTCCCCAAACCCTTGATTATCTTGCTTAACCCTTGGGTTTTGCCCCTAGGAGATTTATAAGTTCTATTTATGGAATGCATGTACCTCTATTAGTTCCCTGATGGGAATCTAGTTCCCATGACTCATTTATCTCATCCTCTTCTATATCTATAGAATTTAGCATTTACCATGGTTCATGGCACATAGAAAGAACTCAGTATCTGTTCACAGCAGATTAAATGCCCCCTTAGTAATAAATGCAGATCACTAAAGTCTTGAGTTCAAATTCTGATACTGCTACTGATAGAGAAAGTCACCACTGCAAGTTACTAAAGTCTCTATCATTTTCCTCAGGGCAATTGAAAGCATATGTATACAGTAAATAGTCAATGCTCAATAAGGATGAGTTTTTTCTTTTCCTTCCTCAGAGCCAGGCCTCTTTTAATGTTACCATGTGGTCTTCTCTAGAACAGGCATTACCAAAGATGATAGGCTCAGCTCACTGTATGGGACTTTTCAGGCAGCAGTGGATAGTAAGCTTTTCAGTTTGAAATGAAAACTTAGCCAGTGGAGCCCTCCCCAGCTCCACTCAAGTGTTTTGGAATTGGCTTCCCCTCCTTTTTGATGATTTCAAAACTTCATAGAAATGAAAATAAAGCCCTACTTTTGAAAGGTTAGGGAATGGATAGTGTAGGGTCCGCACAGAGAGTTTGTTGTTTGGGGTAATTCTTTGATTCCTTCTTTCCTGCCTTCCTCCTTCCAACTCCCTGCATTAGGTAGCCAGTCCCACAAGCACACTATGCAGGGACATTCAGTCATGGGGACATTTGCTGGAATATCCATGGCTAGCTTCAGAAATTTGTGGAGAAGCAAGAGCACACATACTGCAAATCTCCAATGAAGGCTTAGCTATGCCACCAAATACAACACCTGTTCAGGAAGAAATGGGAGCAAGCCTGTTACTATTCTCAGTGGTTTGCACGTTACTATCTCAGGGACTCCTGACAGTGTGCCTATTAGGTGGTACTGTTTTTTTCCGCACCTTATATACAAGGGACTGATGTGCCCTGGAGTTAAGTAACCTACTGAATGTCATGTGGCTGTGAGTCGGGGAGCAGGGTTAGAACCCAGGCAGACTGACTCCAGAGTCTGCCTTTTTTGAGCCTCAAAATCAGGTTGCCTCCCAGTGAAAATGGCAACTTGAGTTATGTAGGCAGCTATTTAAGTTTTACCACATTTTTTTGGGCAGGAACATAAAACCTAGTCTATGAAGAGCATTGGCTTTGTACTGAGATAATCAACAAGATAGGCAGACTGGTGAGTAGGTTCACATAATCTAGTTATACCAGCAAAAGTGCACTTGGGGGTTTGGAGTGAATGATTTTTCCAAAGGTGGCTGTTTGCGATCAAATAGGAAATAAATAGGAAAAAATTGTATACATCTCCAGTTTGTATACCAGTGCTCAAGGGGGCTTATCTAAGGCCCAATGGAGATGTTTCTATAAGTTAACCACTCAATAATCCTCTAACGCTTATCCACAGTGTATTTCCGAGTACATAGAAGTCAATGACTATTTGTTAATCATATGCTGACTAAGAGTCTATTACTCCTGCACATCGTTAAAGGCTTAGTCTTACTTCACATTTAGAACAGTGGTTCCAGAGAGTTTAGCAGAATAGGGATGGGGTAGGACATGGCTATGACACTTCATTTCTATGTGATATTAAGTTACTAAATCTTTCTGAGTCTCTCACCACTCATCTGCAAAATGGTGAATATAACCCAAGTTTTGTGTTATTATTGTGAGGATTGAAAGAGATAATGTGAAGAGATAATATGAAAGTGCTTAGTATAATGCCTGGTGCCTGGGAGGTACCCACCAACTTTTAGTGCACATCCTTCATTTACCTCTTTCTTTCACCTGGGATAAGTTTCTAAGGAGGAAATTGATAACAATGGTCACCTCTTTGCCATCACAATTAAAAGCCAGAGTTAATAAAAACACTTCCCATAAGACATGTGGGACTGTCAAATAAAACTCAGCATATAACCATTGGCATTTTTGAAATTGATTTTACCCGTGTGGAGGCATGGCTGCACAACTCATTGAAG